TGGTTGTGGTTAAGAAGCTACTCCTATTAGCTTTATAACGTATATGGATATTTTTGTAGCACAAATATACATGTAGAAATATCATCAGTCAAATCTATCTATGGTCATGGATATCTTCCAGTTCACCTACCCACACCTGATCTTCTCACCTGTCTGCTTATGCATCCACCCATAGACTAGTGTGTCTTGTTACTGATAATACAGTATTGTGTATATAGTAGTATTTGCCTCTGTTGTCTATACTTTTTGTGTACCTCTCTGTGTCCTCCTTTCCCTATTATTAATATGCTGGTCACACACTTTTGTTATATTGCCTTTTCTCCACTCAAATCAACATACAACTCTTAACTAATCAGGAATTTTCCCTCTCCCTCCCTGCCAACCCTGGTAACCAAGAAAGTAAATTTCCTTCCCTGCATAAACCTTTCCTTGACTTTTTACAATAAGAGACTCATACAACATTTGTCTTCCTCTGATTGATTTATTTCATTCAGCATAATGTCCTCCAAGTTCATCCACATTTTGAGATGATTTGCAAATTCCTTATTATTCTTTAAAGTTGCATAGTATTCCATTGTGTATATGTACCACAGTTTGGTTATCCTTTCATCTGTTGGTGTCATTTAGGCTATTTCCATCTCTTTGCTATAGCAACTAGTGCTGCAGTAGATATGGGTGGGTATATATCCATTCATGTTCTAGATCTCACCTCTTTAGGATACATTCCTAATAGTGGAATTGCTGGATCAAATGGTATTTCTATTTCCAATATTTAAGGAAGCACCATAGCATTTGCCACAGTGGTTGTTCCATTTTACAGTCTCACCAGTAGTGTACGAGAGTTCCAGTCTCTCCACACCCTTGCCAGCATTTGTCACTTTCTGCCTTGTTGAGCTTTGCTATTATTGTTGGGGTAAGATGATATCTCACTGTTGTTTTGACTAATGGCTATAGAAGGAGCTCTGGTAGCATAGTGCTTAAGGCACTTGACTGCTAACCAGAAGGCTGGCCATTCAAACCCACCAGCCACTCCTCGGAAGGAAGGTTGGGCAATCTACTTCCGTTGTGATACTGCCTTGGCAACCCAAGGAGGGGTTGCTATGAGTCAGGTCCGACTCGACGGCACATAACAACAACAACAATGGCTATAGGAGGAGCTCTGGTAGTGTAGTGCCTAAGGCACTTGACTGCTAACCAGAAAGCTGGAGGTTCAAATCCACCAGCCACTCCTCCAAAGGAAGGTTGGCAATCTACTTCCGTAGTGATACCACCTCGGAAACCCAAGGAGGGGTCGCTATGAGTCGGGTCTGACTCCATGGCATATGGGACGACAAATGGCTATGGGGAGCTCTGGTGGCCTAGTGCCTAAGGCATTTGACTGCTAACCAGAAGCCTGGTGGTTCAAACCCAGAAGCCACTCCTTGGAAGGAAGGTTGGGCAATCTTCTTCCGTAGTGATACTGCCTCAGAAACCCAAGGAGGGGTCACTATGAGTTGGATCCAACTCAATTGCAGTGTGAGAGAGAATGGCTATGGCATAGTACCTAAGGAATTCGACTGCTAACCAGAAGGCTGGTGGTTCAAATCTACCAGCCACTCCTCGGAAGAAAGACTGTGCAATCTACTTCTGTAAAGATACCACCTCGGAAACCCAAGGAAGGGTCCCTATGAGTAGGCACTGACTATGAGTTGGAACTGACTTGACAATAGTGAGTTTGCTTTTGGAATGATTAATGATCATGAGCATTTCTGCATGTGTTTGTTGACCACCTGAATATCTTCTTTACGGAAGTGTCTGTGCATGTCCTTTGCCCATTTTTGAATTGGATTGTTTGCCTTTTGATGTTGAAGTGTTGAACTTTTCCATAAATTTTAGAGGTAAGTCCCTTGTCAGATACGTCATAGCCAAATATTTTTTTTCCCAATCTGTAGGTTCTCTTTTTACTCTTTTGGAGAAATCTTGTGATGTGTGTAAGAATTCAACTTTGAAAAGGCCCCAGTCATCTAGTTTCTCTTCTGCTGCTTCTGCATTTTGGGTTATGCTTCATAGTCCATTTATGTCATAAATTAGGGCCCCTGGTTTTGCTTTTATTGTACGCTTAATGGACTTTATAGTTTCAGGTTTTACATTTGGATGTTTGATCCATCTTGAGTTTGTTTATGTGTACAGTTTGCAGTATGGATCTTGTTTCATTTTTCTGCAAATAGATATCCAATTTTGCCAGCACCATTTGTTGAAGAGGCTCTCTCTCCCCTATTTAATAGGTTTTGGCCCTTTGTCAAAGATCAGCTGTCCACAGATGGATGGATTTATTTCTGAATTCTCAATTCTATTGCACTGATGTGTCTATCATTGTACCAATACCACCTTGTTCTGACTACTGTGGCTGTATAGTAGGTTTTGAGATTGGGACTATGAGACCACCAACATTTTTTTTTTTTTTCAGTAATGCTTTGCTTATCTGAGGTCTTTTTCCTTTCCCTATAAAGTTAGTGATTGATTTTTCCATGTCCTTAAAGAATGTTGATAGAATTTGTATCAGAATTACATTGAATATATAGACTGCTTTGGATAATATTGATATTTTCACAATATTCAGTCTTCTTATCCATGAGCATGGCATGTTCTTCCATTTATTTAGGTCTCTTCTGTTTCTTGTAGTAGTGTTTTGTAGTTTTCTTTTTATAGGTCTTTTGTGTCCCTGGTAAAATTTATTTCTAAGTATTTTATCTTTTGGGTAAATATTGTAAATGGTATTGTTTCAATGCATCACTTTTATATGGCTTTTCCAGCCATGGTCTTGTAACTTCCAGCCAAAAGATTGGGTGGGGCTATGCAAATAACATGCCTATGGACCACCAAGGGGATTGGATAGCTTGCCAATAATACACATAAGGGGCATGACACACTTGAGGGAGTCAGGCCAGACAAGTAAGATGTATGGAAGCCTAAAAAGGAAATTAGACAGTTTTGCCATCCACTAGGCTTAAAATGAGCCATCCCAGAAGTGGAAAGGGGGGACCTGGCTACCACCAGGAAGAAGAGACAGGAGAGGAGTGTATCCTTTGGACTAAGAATCCCTATAGTTGGAACTTCCTAGACTCAGGAGACAGGGAGCTGTAACACTGGAGATGACAAGAAGCAGTGGCAGAGAAATGGTAGCAGCAGAGGCCACAAAACCAGGAGACTGGCAGGAGATGGCTCAGTGGACTTTCCAGACCGTGGAGGGAGAAAGATAAGCACCTTCATGCAGGAGGCTTGCTGGAGGGGTGGTATGCCTCCAGGCAATAGGCAGCATACGTCTCATCAACCCACGGAGCAAAACGCTTGGTAACACTTGCCCAAGCAGTGAAGAGGCCAGGCCAGTCAAAGAGGCCCAGGTGAGAGGGCCAGAGAGAGCTCTGACTGAAATGGCTGAGAAGAATTGTCCTGATTAAAGAACTCTATCCTGAGTCCTTTCTGATCTTGAACGCTAACCTGTTATTTCAGTAATAAATCCCATAACTATGAATATTGTCTGTGGATTTTTTGTGGTCATTTCAGAAAATTATTGAACTCAGCAGAGAAGTAGAGAGTGCCTTGGGAGGGACAGCCAGTATTGAATTTGGTAAAAAGTTTGAAAAGTGGAGGTATGTCTGACCTCTCTACCTCATAGCAATCAGCCTTGGGCTGTTGATGCTGATAATGATTCTCTCTCCCCATCCTAAAATTAGAAGAGGTCAGATGTTTACCTCACACCATTTTTACAGCACTCTCCAGATAGGACCCTAACCTCACTCCTACCTGTGTCCCAAGACTTAAAGGATTTCCTCCTTAAGGACATTCTTTCAGAAGGGCTTCAGCTCTAACTGCTGAATGTGGCAACACACCAAACATATATCCCTCTCTTTGTCCTTATGATCATGACAGAGGACTGCAGACTTTTGTTATCCCATCAGGTAGGAATGGAAGCCCAGAAAGGCTACAGGAACAGTCAGTGGTGAGGCAACATCTAGTTCTTTGGGTCTCAGGTTAGTGGAAGCTGTGTATTATTTTAGTATTTTTGTTATGTTTTGTAAGTTTTAAATTATTTCTGAACAAAAAGTTAATAGAGTAATGAAATTACAGTGAGATACATGCAATAATTGGTGTTTGGTCAAAGAAAGAACCATCAGCTTCACCTGGTTGAAGGTGAAGATGGGGCATCAATCAGGGAAGGCTTCACAGAGAAGCTTAAGGAGAAACTCCTTAAGGAGGATGTCTTGACAATTGTGCCTGGGATCCTAAAGCATCTGATCACAGATGGGAGGGGAAGCACAGTAAGATCTGACAGTCTGATTATGTGATATAACACTGTGGGTGACAGTCTATTCTGCGTATGCATGAAACACACCCTGACAAAGAAGGATTCCCCTTCCTTCAGGTGGTGATTGTCACCTCTGTGACCAGGTAAAGATCCTTCTTACTGCCATTCAAGCATCCTTTTTCTTTCTTAAGTACCCTCAAAGGGAAGGAAGTGAGAGGGAGGGACCTGCAACCTGAGCTTGAAAGTGTTGGCCAAGGTGGGGAGGCCTGGGCTGGGCTTGCGTGGTTTGGCTGTCCTCATAAATGGCTCAGCCCTTCAGCCCATACCTGGACTCTGCAGAGGAAGTTCTGAGTCCCCATCTGGTAGGGTACTTGGGTTCCAGCATCTCTGAGACAGAAGGAGAGAGCTATTGTGCTGGTGACGAAGAGGTTTCTGAGTTCCAGACAAGGTCTGTGTGTGGAGGGAGCCCTGAAGCCAGCTTTTGCCTGATCTTAGTTCAGGGGTTGGGTGCTTCAGGGAAAGAAGCTATGGCTCATTGAGTATTTGTAGAGCTGAACAGTGGCGGTAGCAATTCTGGGAGTCTGCAGAATGTCCAGAACCCCATCACTTTCCATTTGAAGTTTCCTGATTCAGAAAACTCGGAACAAAAGTGAAAGGTATAGAAAGGATGGTCCAGCCAGTGATCTTGTGCATCATTTTTTCCCCTCAGAGGACAATGGCCAAACTCTGCTTCCTGCTGTTCATCCTTATGGCCACCAGAGGGTATAGTGCAGGTAACTATCCCATAGGAGCACATCTCCTCCCATCTGCTTGTTCAGTGGAGTGGGGGGAATAGCATTGGGTGAGTTATTCTGTGCTTCTGGACCAGAGGAGAAGTCAGTGAAATGCACAGAGACCACACATAACAGCAGACATGAGATGCTGACCGGATGCTGATTTCTGGCCTCTCTTGGGGTCTGGTCTCATGCAATCAATATTTTAGCTGAGGCATATCCTAGGGCACCTTGCTCTGTGACTCTGGGTGGTTGTGAGGGGGCTCAGGGATGCATCTTAAGGATTCTGTCCCCTCCCAACTACTCCTACTCCTTGTGGCTTTGGCCTCAGGTTCTTCAGAGGGAGCTGCATGGTCACTGATGTGTCCAAGGAACTTCCTCCATTAATCCTTAATTCACAATTCCATTCTCACAGCAAGCATAATATTGATAGTTTTCATTTTTATTAGGTTCTATTACTGTATTAATTAATTGATTAAAAAGCACATTCACATGTATCATCTCATTTGATCTCCAAGGGTAAGAAGAGTTTACTAGTGACATTTAAAGATGAAGAAGGGGGTGGGCATGGAATCAGACCATCAGTTATCTTCTGAAAGAGACTCTGCCATCATGAGTTGTCTGGGGTTTTGAGTCCTTTAATTCAAAGTTTACCTTTTGCCCCACTTGACCAGGCTTTCAGAATAATTCCTAGGCTTTCTGACTACTATATGATACAAGGCCTTCCATCCTCTGGCCTCAGCTAATTTCTAAACCAATTGCCATTTGCTGCATTACACGATATGCTCCAGCCACAGTTAAGTGACTCACCTGTAGTTTTTCAAATGACTGGGTCATGCTCTGTTATCCCTTCATGTCATTTCTGTGCTCCCCCTGTCCTCACTCCTATCCCTCTGTCTTATAGCAAACTTCTATTTATCCTATCAGAATCCACTTTCTCTGAAGCACATCTTCCCCTCTCCAAAAAGTTCCCTGTCTCTTCCCTCACAATGGGCTCCTCCTTCCCTACCAATTCTCCATTGGGTGCCTCACTGTGTGCTCCCTCCCTCTAGAATGTAATCTCTTAAAGAAATGTGTCAACTTTTCTCTGAATGCCCAGTGTTTATGTAGTGCACACAGTAGGACACTACATAATTGAAGTTAGTTGAGTGGAAGAATTCAGGTATGAAGCTTGTAGTAGATCTAGAGAGAGAATCCCTGACCTCTTGGGGTCTCATATTATAAACAGTGAGGAACTGGTGGACAAGAAAGATGGTGTCAGCAGCTCCAGACTATTAATGAGAAGTATTATCATAACCTCTCACAGTGACCTATCCTCCTGAGATGTTCGAGAAAAAAAGCTTCCGTGCTTCTATTCATTCCCTGCCTAGAAGCTGCAAGGAAGTCAAAGAAAGTTGCCATCAAGCAGATGGTGAGTAATGCAACAATGCCAGCATTCTTTCCTTGAAGGAACTCTTTAGCTAAACAGAACCCAGTCTTGGAAATCAGGAGACATGTACCCACTACTACTGTCTGTCTCACTCTGGCTCCCACTCAAAGAAGTTTCCACTGGGAGTTTTGAGGCTTTCTTATCACATCCCACTCACATCAGACATGATCTTCTGGACACAGGGAGAATGGAGTGTTCCTGGAGACATGTAGGATGGTAGCAAGAACTGTGAAGGGTCTGAGATTTTACTGTACTTGTACACTCATAGCCTGTCACACTTTTATTGATGCTGCTAGAAAACACTAGACTCTTGAGTCAGAAACAAAGAACTTCATGATTCACAGCACTTACAGTAGTCTGTGTATCAGTAATTTCTTGTATATGTCCTCTGAGTCCCAATTCGTATGCTGTTGTTGCTGTTGCTATATGCCATTGAGTCGGACCTGACTCATAGCGACCCCTCCTTGAGTTTCTGAAGCAGTATCACTATGGAAGTAGATTGCCCAACCTTCCTTCCGAGGTTTGAAACGCCAGCCTCTGGTTAGCAGTCAAGTGCCTTAGGCAAGGGATCCAGGTGCATCACCACAGGTAGTGGGTTTGTGAAGCAGACTCATAAATTTGACCAGTAATGAAACAATAAATGCTTTTTAGATTCACAGGTTATTACTTGCATAGACAATAAAGTCAAGATCACCAAAGTGTCAGCTTCCTGCATTTTTTGTCTCACAAGATGACACAGAAACAAAATGTCAAATGAAAATACAACAAAAGTGTTGGGGTGCTATGCTTCTAAGGAGCCAATCTGTGCTGCAGCGAAGCAATTTCATACCCTGCAGCTGTGCCCTAAGGAGCAGGGTGGGGGTGGGAGCCCTCAGGTCTTCTTAGAACTTGAGAAGTGATGAGGAGCTGTCTCATGACTGCCAAACGGGAAGATCCTGCAGTGGATGAGAATGGCCTTGGGAGCATCTTCCCCCAAGTCTCCCATATTCCCATGCTTGGTAGGACCACATGCATGTTGTGAAGGATTCGATCAGCTGTGCCTACTCACTGCCTATGTGGTCTATGCAGCCTAGGCAGAGATATGCAAGGTGCCCAGAGTGTCATGGTGGAACTCTTCTTCCACTGGATTGTGTTGCTGCAGAGGAACTGTGAGCTCAGGGAATCTGACTCTTATAACAGGCAGTAACCATGTCTTCTCTTTGCTCTGAGATGCACAGAGGTCTCCAGCTATAGACTGGAGACTGGAGATGTGAGTAGGTGCTGATTTCTGGCCAGAGGAATCTACTGTTCAGATGGAAACACTATCTCTAAGAATGTTTGCTATAAAAACATCTATGACAAGACAGTATTGAACAAAAGCAGAAAGTGCCTCTGCTCAGAAAATGAGCAGAAATGATGGAGACCTGAGTAGAGTTATCTTCCAACAGGTAGATATGTGTTGGAGCCTTCAGGTAATACTCTGAACTTCTCACAGCCTTTCTGGTTATGGGCCTAAGATGGGCCCTGTGCTCTCAGACAGGGACACTCTGGGTGATTTTCTTTGCAGATGGCTTATATTTCCTCCGCGCCGAAAATGGTGTCATCTACCAGACCTTCTGTGACATGACCTCTGGAGGTGGCGGCTGGACACTGGTGGCTAGTGTGCATGAGAACAACATGCATGGGAAGTGCACGGTGGGTGATCGCTGGTCCAGTCAGCAGGGCAACAGAGCAGACTATCCAGAGGGGGATGGCAACTGGGCCAATTACAACACCTTTGGATCTGCAGAGGCGGCCACAAGTGATGACTACAAGGTTAGTGCCACTCACCACCCACTTGGGAAATAGTGAGGAGTGTAGTTGGAGCACAGCATGTGGAAGGGGGGATTGGGAGGTGGAGATGGAGTTCTAGGGTTGAAGAAGAAAGAATTGCTTACATGTCATGAATCCCAACTTCCTCCAGCCATTTAGGGGTATGGATGATTATGGGAAACCATCATCTCTTGAAAGAAGGTATCTGAGAACTGCTGGCCATAGGGTCACCTGGATCCCAGGGATCTAAATACAACTGATGGCTGCTAGGTCCTTTGCTTCATGTGACCTTCAGGATGGTCAGTGTTGATATCTGTTGCTCTGCAGAATCCTGGCTACTATGACATCCAGGCACAGGATCTGGGCATCTGGCATGTGCCCAACAAATCCCCACTGGAGTTTTGGAGGAACAGCTCCTTGCTGAGATACCGCACCCACAATGGCTTCTTCCGGTATCTAGGGCATAATCTGTTTGGCGTCTACCAGGTACACAGGCTGCTGGGTTGGAGGCAGTTTGTTAGGTGACCAGAGAGTTAAATGTTTGGCGTGGGGAGTGAGTCTGCTTTCTGTGGTCCCAGGTCACTACCCCAGGTCCGCAGTTGGCTGTTTCTCCTCATTCTGGTTCACAGTGAACTCATGTCCTCCCTTTCTCTGAGGAATTCTGAGCCAGCTGTATGGAAGATGAGGGTAGGGGAGAGTGGGACAAGGACAAGGGCCTTGCTGCTGCTGAAAAAATAGAAATATGGGGAAAGGAGTCACTCTTATTAAGACTGGTTTCTAAATAACAACAGCTAACTAAAAGCAAGCCACCATCCCCTCATATCTGATGATGGTAGCATCTCTGCTGTTCTCACACATCCTCCATGTGGGTCTCTGCAGAAATAATACCCAGTGAAATACGGAATAGGGAAGTGTTGGACTGACAACGGCCCGGCAATACCTGTCGTCTATGACTTTGGTGATGTTCAGAAAACAGCATCTTATTACTCACCATATGGTCAGGGTGAGTGTTTGCTGCCTAAGTCTAGTTATCAATCCTTCTCTGTATTCTTGGGGGATGGATGGTAAATAGCAACAGTAACAATTGGAAACATTTACTGAACACTTAAAATTTACTGAGCTTCTTTCCTAGAAACTTCACATGGTTTTATGTTATTTCATCATCATGAGAAACCTATGAAGTTGGAATGACTATTGTTGCCATTTTACAGATTGGGTGGTTTAACACTGAGAGATTAGAGGACTTGCTGAGAGCCACATGAGGTATTAGCAGCAGAGATAGGATCTAAACTCAGGTGCTCACCCCAGAACCTATACTCATAACCACCTTGCATGGCTTCTTTTAGTAGTAAGTAAAGGTGCAGGCTAATGTTCACAGGAAAAGACAATTAACAAAATTATGAGAAATTTTTATTTTTATTATGAAAGATACCTATAATTATCTTTAAACAGAGTATACTTTTTAGAATAATAAAGCAACAGAAGTTAAATCTTTGATAGGTAAATCACTGCCATTCCTATTTGCATTTGATATTTCAATGAAAGCAGATGATTGTAGGGAAAACAAACAGAAGTAATTGAATGAGAAATGTGTAATCAGAGAAAATTAGACACATTTGTTAAGTGTTTATTCCCACTGTACCTTTTGAGATCTTCATGATGATTTTCTGTAGAGTTTAATTTCCCTAGTAGGCCTTAGGCAGACAAGGGCCCTCTTATGAGGCCAAACCTTTGTTCGCTGCAGTCTCTGAAGATGAAGAGAGGGTCCCCCAAGCCATGTCCACCAGCCACTAACCACACATGAACTGAGTTCCACCCCACAAACAGGCGTGCAGGGCTGTAGCCTCAGCTTTTGGTGTAGGGAATCCCTGAGTGGTCTATGGGAAGCTGTTTCTAGTTCCTCCTCTGAATGCTCCTGTCCTGTCTTTGTCTCTTCTTTTCCAGAAGAATTTGTTGCAGGATTTGTCCAGTTCAGAGTATTTAATAATGAGGGAGCAGCCAACGCCCTGTGTGCCGGGATGAAAGTCACTGGCTGCAACACTGAGTATGTGAGTCTTCAGGGAGATCAAGGCTGTGTGTATGTGTGTGTGTGTGTGCACGTATCTGGTGGATGAGGATGTATTTGTGTTTCACTTTTTACCCTCTTGGTGTCTTCTGGTTATACTTATTTTCATAAAGTCCATTTTATCAATATTTCATTTAAAGTTAGTACTTTTGTATTTTGTTAAAGAAATATTTCCCTATGTTAAGGTCAAAAATTATTCTCCAATATTAATATTAACTTCTAAAAGTGTATGTACACGTATTTTTTCCAGTCTTGTGTGGGAGAGAGTATTTTTGAGAGACTTGTGATGGTAGGGGCAGGAAGGAGTCAGAGCCATGAAGAACGAACTCATTCACTCAGGACCTTCTCCCCTCCTCCAAATGATAGGCTGAGAAACAGGTCTTGGTTTCTGGAAGAAGACCCTAAAGTCATAGGTCCATCTTCACTTTCCCCCTACCCAACATTTTATCCATTTTCCAGCCAATATGAGGCTGTACTTTCATGCAAGGGCCCTACACACTATGCTTCACAGAATGATGGAGATAAAGGCAATGGGGTGGATATGTCTATGCTGTCTGTCTTCCTTGACAACTATTTCCTGGACTGATTTTCATGCTCCCTTATACTGTTCATTAATGCATGTTTGCATCTATGCCTGTGTGCATTGGTTTTTCCTTAAAATGTGCAAGATGTTAGGCATAGTCTTTTCCCATAAGGAGCTCAGATTCACTGGAGCAGAGATGGAAATGCATAACTGCAATCTCATGTGCTATGAACTAGAATAGAAATATAAGCAAAAGGCTCTGGGAACACAATAGAGGATCTCTTAACTGCTAGTGGAACATAGTTGATTTTCCAGGGAAGGTGATATTTGTGCTGTATTTCAAAAGATGTGGAATTCCTGCCTATATGACCATGAGACCAGAAGGACTAGAGAGTGTGCAGCTACCACCATCAACCATTCAGAGGGGGTTCAGTACAAGAGATCCTGGATAGAGTGGGAGAACAATGTGGAACAAAACTCAAAATCATTATCAACAACAACAAAAAAAGACCAGGTTGCTGGTTTGATAGAGCCTGGTGAGACCCCTGAGACTATGGCCCCTAGCCACCCTTCAGGTGTGGAATTGAACTCACTACTGTGGCTTCCAGCCAAACAATAGACAAGGATATGGGGTGAACATTTACATCAGGTAGATACACTCCTTGGAGCAATCAATCATGGGAGAACAGAAGGGCAGTGTTTGCACAGGGAGACAGCTCAGGGGGCAGGAGTGCATGGGAGGAAAGGACACAGGGAAGAGGTAACTATGGGGAGGAAGTGGGAAGAGAGCTGTTACATTGTGGGGAATTGCAATCAATGTCATGAGACAAAATGTGTATGAAATACTGTATGGAAAGTGAATTCAGTCTGTAAACTTTAACCCAAATCACAATAAAAATTTTAAAAAATAAAGTGTTAAAGAGGAAAAAAAAGAGAGAGAGAGAGAGAGAGATGTAGAGTTCAACAGCAGCAAGAGACAGTGTTGTGGTTAGGTATCATAGGGTTGATGTGAAGTCATAATTACCCTGTGTAACACAGTAGAAGTGCCCCATAGGATTTTCTAGGCAGTAATGTTTATAGGAACTGATGGGCTGCTGGTCGGGTTTGAACTACCAAAGTTTCAGTTAGCAGCTGAGTATTTAACCATTGTGCCACCACGACTCCTTAGCAAGAGATAGAGAGGCCTTGAAGAAAGCCTTAGTGATTGATTTCCAAAAGATTCCAGTCACTGAAAACCCTATATATCACAGTTCTACTCTGACACACATGGGGTTGGTATGAGTTGGAATAGACTAGATGACAAGTTTGCTTGTTTGTTTGTTTGTTTCCCCAATTCTACCACCCATTGGCACAGTGCTGGGTTACACTAGTGCAGGCTAAAGTGTTGAGCTGCAACCTGACTTTTGGCATAGGGTCTCCCTGAGCTGGTTTACAGGGAGCTACTTCCAGCATCTTCTTTGAATGTTGTGCCATTTCCTGCTTCTTATTTTCAGAAGAGTTCAGAATAGTATTAAACCAGTTCAAGATATTTAATAATAAGAAATAAGTCAATGTTTTGGGATAAGTGTCATAGGATGTTACACTGAGCATGTGAACCTTTGTGGGAACTCAAAGACAAAAGTGTAAGATTTGAGTTTGTCAGCATGTGTTTTAAGTGTGTGTTGAGTGTAGATTGCAGTGGAAGTATGTGTGTATGTGACCTTCCCTTGCTCCTTACTGAGTCCCAAGGGTAAGAGATATGATCCCTGTTCTCCAGGTACTGAGATCCTGTATCTTTGAGGTCTGAGACACAAGAGTTAGGGCTTCAAAAACACAATTGCTAGCTGCTTGACCTTTAGGGTAAAACACTCAGTTGCCTGGAGTTGAGGTGAGGATTGTGCACAGCAACACTCTGTAGAAGTCTTCCAGAGCTGAGATTGCATGAGAACATGAGGCATTGTCATTCTCTACCCAAGGCTTATCTTTTCACAGTAAAACTTGGCCTTCTCAACCATAACTAGGGCTTGTTCAAACACATATTCTACTTGGGTGTACTGGCAGAGTTCTGGACACCTCACTCAGGCCATCCCTCTTCTTCACCACAAGCACTCTCTGGCCAGAGGTCACCATGAAGAATGAATGACTCCCAAACCAGAAAGACTTCGCTCTCATGTGTCTTGATGTCCTCTCTTGACCAGAGATCTTTAAACTCCTGTTGTTTTATCCAGTTTTCTGTCCAAGAGATGAATGAGGAGGGAACCCTTGGGCTGCCTATAGTCCAAGTTGTCAAGAACAAACATATTCACTCGGGACTCTCCTTTCCTTAAATTAAGTCTATGGCATGGGTTCTTGGCTGTTTTAGATAACACTGAAGGCTCCATCTCTCCTTCCTTCCTCAGCAATCATCTTGTCCCTTTCCCAGGCAGGATGAGGTAGCTTCACTGTTAGGGAGGATCCAGGGATGGTGATAGAAGGATGATGATTATGTGGCTATAAAAGGGGGACAAATCTCTGTAACTTCCTCTTCTCTGTGACAACCTGGCCCCATGCCTGCTTTCCACCATCACTCAAAAATGTTATGTGCATGTGTCCCTATATGTATCTATTTTTTCCTTAAAGTGTGCATTCAGCATGCACTCTGGGCTGGTGCAGGAAATACAATAATGACATGGTCCTTGTTCAGTGTCTAGCAGGACAGACATTCACATAAACACACATGTGTAATCTTATGGGTCTGAGGTAGAAGGAAAATAAAAGTGAGGGCTATGTGAGCACTTAACCCTCCTGGATGTATTAGGAGCAGTGACTATAGGGAAGGTAACTTCTGAGCTGAGTCTTGAGAGATGTATAGAAATTTATGGGCTCTCAGTGCAATTTAGGTTGAATGAAAAGTGTCTTCACTGTCTTTAACATTGGAGAGTCCCTGGTGACTTGAGGGAGCATCAAGCCACTTTGTATTTTGGGAGCATGGAATACATGTTGGGTAGAGTCAGAGTCTGATGGTGGAAACTTCAATGGGAGCTGAGTCTTGAAAGGATATTTCAATCATGCCAATGATTTTGGACTTTATGCAGTAGGTGGTAGGGAGCCAGGAAAGCATTTTAAATGGAGGACTGACCTGGTCCTCTTTGTGTTTTACAAAGATCACCCTGACAGCGCAGTGGGGAAAGATTTTAGCAGGGAGAGGCAAAGGGCAAGGCAACTAGTATTGAAACAGGTGCAATAGTTCAGATAAAGGCCTGAACTAGGTCAGTCTGCATGGGAATGGCCAGTATTGATGAATTCCAAAGACTTTAAATGACGGAATCAATAGCTCTTTATGACCAGTTCAGTTCAGCAGATGGGGAATGAAAGTTTAGAATAATTTCATGTTTTTATCTTGGGTGATTGAGTGTCATTTATCAAATCAGGAGACAGGTTTGGAGTCAATGAAGGATATAATTACTTCTCTTTTGGTGGAATGGAGGTGACTGGTGTAGAGATCCAAGTAGTAATTGCATATCAAGGTCTTTAGCATCTGGACTATTAGCATCAGTGAATTATTAGTAACTGAAGCCAAAGGGGCATGCAGTCTCTAAGAGAGAGGAGTAGCCTCTCTTAAGGAGAACAGCACAAGAGATTCATGAAGGAAGAGCTCAGCCAAGGGACAAGAGAATGAATGTTCATAAAAGTTGGAGGAATGTCAGGAGACAACAATATCACTAAAGATAAAGGAAGACAGAGCTTTGTGGGAAGAAGAGATCACCATCATCAATGGAGATGGCAATGCCACATTGGATGAGAACCAAAGATTCCACTGGATTTGACCATTAATATGTCATTGACCTCACCAGCAGATATCTCATTACTATCTCTTCTTGTCCTTATGTTTCAGCATTGCATTGGTGGAGGAGGATACTTCCCAGAGTACAGTCCCTGGCAGTGTGGGGATTTCTCTGGTTTTGACTGGAATGGGTATGGAGCTCACACTGGTTACAGCAGTAGCCGGGAGATAACCGAGGCAACGGTGCTCCTGTTCTACAAATGAGAGCTTCAATGTATGGGCAGAGAAATCTTCTCCCAAAGTTTGTATCCCAAGGATGGGGAACATCTCACCCAGTAATGAGAATGCTAATGACGTTGATTCTGCAAATGATTTTGTCCTTTATGATGGCAGAGGGGAGGAAAATAAATCATGCAAATTCGAGATTTTTTTCCAGGAATTCTTTTACTGCAGAAGTTGAAACAATGTAGAATATTTCCAAAGAATATCTTGTTCTAATTGACTCTACTTCAACCACTTTTGTGCTTGGAATGTCAGAGCTCAGGAATCATGACAAAAGAACATGTCACCCTCCTCCTTTCATGTAGCTCTTAAAATAGCCAGAGAAATTAAGGGCAAGAGGAAACACTTTGCCTTAACTCTTTTTAACTTGTACACAGGGACTGATCAATTTGCATCTCCCAAGTGAAGACCTTAAAGAAGAAAAGAATCAAATTTTTGAGGTGCATCAAAGAAAAGAAATACCCTCATTGCCCATATCAGGCATATTTCAGTCTTAGTGATTGAGGCATTCACTTTAGGGATAGATGGAGCTGGCAGGCCCATGATGACGATGACTCTTCTTGGTCGTCTGGGCTCCCATATTCAGGTGCTTATTCAAAAGGGAACCAAGTGGCCAATCATCTGCAATGTGTTATTGGTACAAGCAGGATATGTTTGGCACTAGTCTTGACTCATGACCAAATCTCAGTTCTTTTATAGTCTTTTCATTTAGCATGCAAATCCAATTATAATAAGCTTTTCCAATTCTACCCTTATTCCAAATGTCAGTTACTTCTCACTGGCTAGAAAATTAAGATCAACCTCCCTAGGATTTAAGGAAATTAAAAACAAGAAGAAGAGGTAGAGTAGGAGAAGGGGAAGGTTAGCAGAAGAGGAGAAGAAGGACCAGAAGGAGGGGGAAAAAAATCATTCTTTAAAAGTGTCTACTAGTATTTGTTTAAATTATATTTTTTTGGTCCTAGGTCAGAAATTGCTAGTATTTTCTCTGCTCTTCAACCCTTTTTTCCTGTATTCCTTTCTCCCTCCTTAATAACACGATTTCTGCTACCTTTTCTTTCCTACCTTCTCTCTTACTCCTTGTTCTCTTCACCTTCCTTGCCCCTTGCCCCTATTCTCCATCCCCAAACACACATATCTCTGCTCCTCAGACCCTCAGCTGTCCTTCCATCTGAAGAAGGTGACAGGGACCTGAGTAGGTTTTTACCTCTGGTTGGTGGTTACCTAGTGCCGCTCTGACAAGAATAGACCACAAATGCTTTAACAAACAGGAGTTTATTTTTACAGTTTGGAGGCTTTAAGTCTGAGTTCTAAGTGCCTAACTCTAGGGGCTGGGTGAAAGCCCCTCAGCCTTGGGCTCCAGCTCTGCCTCCTGCTCCCGGCCCACTGGAGATAGAGGCTTTTCTTTACTCAGACAACTGCTGGCTGCTGAGACTGACAAGCCCAAGGTTGGCAAGTAAAGAGGCACAGTCTTGATGTTACCATACCACATGGCAGGCCATTCATTCAAGTCCATTGAAAGTCCCAAGGTCGGCAGAGCACAGCAGGCTGCTGAACAACAATGTGGCTACATGCAGGGTTAAAGCATGCTATAAGCTAGAGACCATTCCCAAGCCTTCTCCTTGTATACAGGAAGCAGACCACATCCCTAAAGCAGCTACTCAGCTGCTCATAGTAGATTCCACCGTGATGTTGATTACCAGTCTCATCATGGGGAATACTACATCCAGCTGCCCAGCCACTCAACCAGGCACAGCCAAGCTGACACAAACTTAACCACCACAGTTGGTATCCTTTTTATGTGACTCATGTGACTCTTCTCCTATGTGCCAGACACAATTGACTGAGGACTCCCAGACCAGTGATGAGACAGACAAGTGAATAGTTTTTCTTTTTCATATATTCTTTTATGCGTTCATTTCAACAATATTTAATGTGCACTAGTTCCTGGACTGAGCACTGGGAAAACAGTGATGGAAAGAACAGATGAACCCAGTTCTGTGGTGCAAATGGTAGGGCCCACAGACCATTTTAATGAAATGTGGTAAGCAGTCTGATGAGGACGCTCATGGAGCTGGGGGAGTGCAGAGGAGCACCCCCAAACCCAGAAAAGAATATTAGAAAGGATGTCTATAAAAAGGTGATTTTTTTTTTTCTTAACTGTTCTCAATTATATCCCAGAATGATGACAGAAGTCTCTGAGCTGGGAAAGTATCACTGTAATTGTTTTCATAGGCGCCCACTTCTGTGTAGTTAAGTGGCTAAAGGTCCAAACTCTGAGACAGTTCAAATCTCAACTCTCTAACTTTACTTGGAAAATTATTCATATCTCACAGAGTCTCAGTTATCTGTAAATGAAAATAATAATAGTAAAGTCTTCATCCTCATATGTGGTTTTCATAAAAATAAAATTAAATACATATATAGTCCTTACAAAAGCACCTGGCTTATAGCAACCACTCAGTACATGGCAGAAAGAAACATATATGTAAACAAATTATTTTAAAATTATGGGAAAAAAAATTATTGTTCCTATCCCAACAGTTTCAACATTCCTGTTTTCCAGAATTATTCAAACTGTCAAAGAACATGGAATTTTCTCAGACCAATGGTTTTCAAACTTTAATGTGCATCAAAATCACCTGCTTATTAAAACACATTACTGAACCCCACCCTTGGATTTTCTGATCCTGTAGGTGATGCTGATGGTGCTGGTCTGGGAACTACACTTTTTGAAGTACTGTCCTGGAATTTCTTTTCTTTAGTGAAGGTCCATTGAATATTTTTGTCTCTGACTGCTGGAAAATTCACTCAGCAAACCATTTAGCATTATCCCAGGCAATTGTACTTTTTCCTTTTCTACAGCCCTGTCCTTGTCTCAGCCACTTTAATTACAGGATGTTTTTCTCCTCCTCTATATATGGTGAGCTCATAACTAACTTGGGTTTCTGGTTCCACTTTCTCTGTCTTAGAGGAAGTACATTTCCCTCTTTGTTCACCTTTCTCTAATACTTTACCATCAAGATAAAACCCATCACATTGGGACCATGAGACAGGAACCAATTATATCTGTAGCTATACCAGTCAGAAAACATAATGGAAAAAAATAACGCATTTTCAACAGTAATCAAAAAGACAAGATATTTTGTGAAAAATTGAAAAACTAACATACAAGGTCCTAAGTCCCTGGGTAGTACAAATAGTTAATGATCTTGGATGCTAACCAAAAGACTGGAAGTTCAGGTTCACCCAGATGCACTTTGGAATAAAGGCCTGGCAATTTTGAAAATCAGCAACTGAAAACCTTATACACTGCAGCTCTATCTGACACACATGAGGTAACCATGAGTTGGAACTGACTTGAAGGCAACTGGCTTTGTTTGATATCATATCAAAAACTTTAAAAGCAGAAAGATTCTGAGGAGTGAAATGATATGACTAAGATGTGCCAAGAAACCACACTGATAGACATTATTCAGAACCAGCCTGTCACATACTTTCAGTGAAAACTCCAGGTCCTCTGAAACTGTTTCCTTTGATAATCTAATCAAAGAATAATCTAATCTAATGCCTGTTAGCAGGCAGCTAATCTGCAGCTAACTCAAGGAAACAAAAGCAAAATTCATTTTTCCCAAATCAGTCTGAGACATTTTACTTCTCTCTTCCCTCCTATCTTTCATATAAATCCTGCTTTTCCTATATAGATCAAATCAACATATCAGTTTCCCTTTTATACAAATTTAGCATGCCCAGGTCGTGAAGATATCACCTATGTGATATTCTAAAAGCTATATTGCTTTACATTTTATACTTAACTCTACAGTCTGCCTGTGTGTTGCAGCATAAAGAACTGCCTACATGCATGAAGGATAAGAATCAACACAAAGCTGGTTCCTAGGAAGTGGAACTTAGACACACTTCCACTCTTTAACTTCTTCACCACTTCTAACACCAGCCATACCTTCCAAGGTACTCTATAGCTCTCTGCTGGGTTCAATAACTGTGATGGCCACACAGAAGCCACAGACCATTCTCATAGCTAGGTAGTTTATTAGGGAAATGAAAGACTACAACTTGGGATCCAGATCAACTTGGAAGTAATAGGAACAGTTGAAGACCATGAAGTACATAGGCAGGTTTAGAAGGCGCCCCCAAGGTGGAGAGCACACCTTTCCTCTCTTAAGTGCAGGACAGCTTCCAACCAGGAAAGCTCTCTCAGAATCTTCTTGGCCATCCTAGTAGGACCTTCTCTCAGCCATGTTGTAAGCAGACAGGCCATCTGTTGGCTGTGCACCTTCAGCCTCCTTGCTATCAGCCTCTCCACTAATACCTGGTCCAGCTCAGTGTAGCAACTTGCTTAGTTGCTGTTGCTTACCTAGCGGCAGATTTCTGCAATTGCTACCAGCGCCATTGCAAGGCCCCTTCCAGGTATCTTGCAATTTTCTGAGTTATAGCCTTTGACCCATGTTACAGCTCTATCAGGGAGTTCCTCTTCTTCTGCCTTGTCTGTTTCCCCTCTAAAAACCTTTGTGGGTTGGTTGCTTATATAAGCAAACTCCTTACCAGTTTCATGGCATGACCCTCTGAGCAGGACCACAAACTGACAAATCCCCTCAAGTCACTCAATCTTATTGAGTAGATTTTCAAGCCACTATCTGCATGGCAAATCAACCAGTCCCTGCAAGATGTATAAAATACACCAATCACAGGGCAGCCTGCAGCCAGAGGCAAACAAAAGTATTAAAACCATCAAGCTATTTATAGCTTACCAAGAAATGGACAAAAGGAACAAACCATCTGGACTAGAAAATAACCTGGGAGGCCCTAGCCCCACCCCAAGCTGTTTCTCCAAACAACTAGGGCAAAGTTAATTCCTCAAGGATTACAGAAAGGAAGATAGGGCAATCTACTTCCATAGAGATACCACCTCAGAAACTCAAGCAAGGGTCACTATGAGTCACAATCCACTTGATTAGAGGGAAAAA